CTCTGAGCGTCTCTCCTGGTTAGATCTCCCCGGGCCGGATGGAGACAGCACAGGAGCGTCCCTCCCTCCTGTCGGCACGGGAGCGTCCCTCCCTCCTGTCGGCACGGGAGCGTCCCTCCCTCCTGTGCACGCTGAACGAGAGGAGGATGTCCCAGGTAAACACCTGAGCTGGCCGGGGAAAATGACCTTTGACCCCTTTCCTTTACTTTAATTGAAAAACTTCTGGAGATGACCTCTTCCTTCTTCCAGACCAGCCGGCTCCGGATGAGATGGAGAGCCTTTACGTCCACCTGAAGGCGGCCAGCTTGTCTCTGATTGGACGGTCCAGTCAGAGGGACTTCAGGGCGTCGTTTGCCAGACGATGTAAGAACGACAAAGTCAACGAGAAGCTTCACCTGCTCAGGATCCTCAGCAGCACGTTAAAGGTGAATCACTAAGTGAGGGCGTCGTTGGCCTAGTGGTTAGCTTTAGTCCTCCAAGCGGTCGAGGACTACAGCGGGGCGTGCACACTAACCACTAGGCCACTGGCGCTCCAGCGTGCAAATTTTCAACAATGTAGAATATGTAATTGCTAGTGAAGCGTGTTAGCATGCTATTTGCTAATACACACTGAACACATCTGGAGTTTAAGGGTCCTTATTTGTTTTTTGGTATGTTAAACATAATTTTGACCACCAGAGGGCGCCAGAGAGAGAGAGAGAGAGACATGAGGATTATTTGTGATAACCTTTGGCTCCTCCTTCAGGCGAAACAGTCGGAGCTGCTGGCGGTGGAGCAGATCCTGACCGACCCGACTCTCACCCCGCCAACGTACAGAAAGTGGAGGATCTCCAACTCCGTCTTACTGCAGGAGATCAGGCAAAGAAACCAGGCAGCAGGGGGGGCCGTGGAGCGGAGACCTCCTGATCAGCGCTCTGTGACCTGATGACAAGAGGTGCAGTCAGTGGAGACTGCAGACCAGCAAAGAGCAAGACCGCGTTTGACGGGTCCTCCACGAGATTTGGAATACCCTCCCATCAGAAATAAAAATCATGAACTGACTCCAAAGCTTTGGTTAACAAGGCGCAACTATATGGAGATAGAATTGTCTCATACATATCCAAATGATGTGTAGAAATATACAAATATAAAAACGTGACACACAAATAAATAAGCTAATTTGCATAAATAAACGTGCATTTGTAAATCTATTTTCGAGATTTGAGAATAAATATTCTCGACTTTGTGTGTGGATTCTGCATTTGTGGTTCGCTTTTGGGCTTTTCTCTCGATGACGTAATTTTGAGACATTCTTACCACACACACGCCCCTCCACCTGAACAACCAGTAGATGGCAGTGTTGTGCAGCCACCGCTGGTTATGGTTATGGTTAGGTATTTGGCAGACGCTTTTATCCAAATGTACCGTCTGTGACTGCTGCAGGATCAACAACATGGAAGCGAACAGTGGACTAACTGGATGGCTAAGTAATAATTAGTGATAACTGCGTCTTGTGGATTGTAGTGCCATTTTTTTTATCTACTAGACAGTATACATGAGTCCACTTACAGATGTCACTGTCAGATGTTACCGGTGTTGACATGCTAGCAGCTAGTTCTAAGTCCCCTGTCCCTAGAAAACAAAACAGATCAAGACACCTAGCACCTATAGTGTGTCTGGATTAAGCCACAGTCAATTCAAGATTTACTTAGCTAGTCTATTAGCTGTTTTTTATTTTATATTTGATTTGTTAGTAGGCTACTAAAGACATACAACAGTCTGATGCAAAATATTTTTACAGATAATTCACACAGGGAAATAGAGAATAAAGACTTGATGGTGAGTACAAAAAACAGAGGGTTTATGGAATCTCAATGTAATAATAACTTTATATTGAGTTTTTGGTAAACCCAATCTAAAACACTAATCCAGTCAGTCTAGATTTTGTGTAGTACTAAACTAAACCCACATGTAATGGTGTGAAAAATAAGTGACAGAGGAGCAAAAAAGGGTATCTGGCAGAGGAAGGAATATTTTCATTATTTGTTTAATATTTACATTAAAAATGTATATGAATAAGATGTTACTTTGCCACCAGTAATTGAAACAGCTTTATGTTCATTGGAGCTGGGAAGGGAGAAGATCACATAGCGTAAATATTACTTAAAGACACTCAAACATTTACAGAACAGACGAGAAGAGGTCAAAGTACCGCCCATGAAGTTTGATTGACAGGTGACCACGATCAGATCTCAGCAACGAGCGTGGATAAAAATCAAGTTGAAGATTTGAAACACAGCAAGTTAAACATCTGTCTCGTTAATGACTTCTGTCTATTTCAGTTTACACAACTCAGCAGAGTCTCAACCCAATAAACCGAGTCCAGCATGTAGAGGCTGAGTGAATGTGGTCTGGACTCTGTGGAGGAGAGTCATGGTTTCAGAGATGCTGTAGAAGGACAGAATACCTGCTCTGTGATCCAGGTACACTCCTACTCTGGAGGACCGAGGACCTGAGACAGGAGTCTTGACATTGTTGTAATAAAAGTTATATCTGTTTAAGAAATAATCTAACACCCAAGATTTGTCATTACGTCCAAATACACACTCATTCGATCTCCCTGCTCTGCTGATATTCTTGTATGTGACTGCTACACAAACTCCTCCTCTCTTCTCGACTTCCCAGTAACAACGTCCAGTCAGACTCTCTCTACTCAGGACCTGACAACATTCAGTGAATCTGTCTGGGTGACTAGAATAAGGATGGATCTCTCTCGTTACTGTTACTTTTCTGTTCCCATCAGATAATAACAGCTGTGTGTGTGCTGTGTTTGGATCCAGAGTGATGTCACATGAATATTTTAAGAACTCAGCTCTGGTCTTGGGCTCTGGTTGTGACAGTAAAACATCCACTTCAGTCACTGTCTGTGAGATGTTTGTCCATTTCTCTCTCAGGACGTCCTGTAGTTTATCTCTGACTTCTGACACAGCCGCTGTCACGTCCTCAAAGTACCTCAGAGGACGGATCTTGATGCTGGATGAGTGTGTAGATTCACTGAGTGGTGACAGTGAGGGGTAGTCGTGTAGAAACTGGTTGTGGTCCTGTGTGTGTGACAGCTTCTTCATCTCAGCGTCTCTCCTCTTCAGCTCAGTGATCTCCTGCTCCAGCTTCTCCTGAAGCTCTCTGACTCGACTCACTTCAGTTTGCTGCTGGGATCTGACCTGCTGCTTCACATCAGAGCGTCTTTTCTCCATGAGACGGATCAGCTCAGTGAACATCTTCTCACTGTTCCCCACTGTTTTATCAGCGGAGCCATTGATAGCCTCCACCTCCTGTTGGAGCAGCTTCACATCTTTCTCTCTGTCCTGGATTCTCTGCTGGATGTTTTGTCGACTCACCTCCAGCTCTCTCTGCTTCTCACTCCTTTCTGCTGCAGCTGAGACTGTGTCATGACCTTTGTGTTCGTCCACAGGGCAGAGATAACAGATAGACTGCTGATCAGTACGACAGAACATCTTCATCACCTCATCATGACGAGAGCAGACGTTCTCCTGGAGCTTCTTGGAGGGCTCCACCAGCTTGTGTTTTGTATAGGCAGGTATTTCATAATGAGGCTGGAGGTGTTTCTCACAAAATGAGATCAAACAGAAGAGACAGGACTTACAGGCTTTCAGTTTTCTCCCAGTGCAGACATCACAGGCCACATCTTCAGATCCAGCATAGCAGTGATCAGCAGGAGCAGCTTGGAGTCCAGTCTTCTTCAGCTCCTCCACTAAATTTGCCAACATGGTGTTTTTCCTCAGGTCAGGCCTCGCTGTGAAGGTCTGTCTACACTGAGGGCAGCTGTAGACTGTCTTCTCATCCTCTGTATCCCAGTGGCTTTTAATACACTTCATGCAGTAACTGTGTCCACAGGTAAGAGTCACCGGATCCTTCAGGAGATCCAGACAGATCGAACAAGAGAAGGTTTCCCGGTCCAGCTGAACTCCTTTCTGCGCCATTTCTCCTCTCGGTAACAACGACTGTCTGAGTTTCACTTCCTCAAAACTGATAACAAGTTTCACCTCTGATCTACAAAGCATGTGTCTGTGCATGTGACTGTGCAGCTCTTGTTGGTTACACCCATCCTCAAACTATAGATCTAAAGGGGAGGGAACCAGGAAGTATGAGGACAGAGTGCAGCAGGCTGTGTTTGAGAGCAGGAAGAAGAGGGAGGGCTGATAGAACTACGATTCATTCCAGGAAGAGGAGCGGTTTGAGAGAGATACTTGTTTACAACAGAGAACATTTCTCTTTTAAAAACACTTCTCCTTTCAGATTTTAGATGAACTCTTCTTTGAATCGGAGGGTTTGGAGAAGACCACAAACAAAACCAGATATTATTTGTTAAGATTTCACTTCAGAGCCACAAAATGAGTCTTTCTAACGATTATCCACTTCAAATCTATTATTATTGTTTATTTTCTGAAGTATAAATACCAAATAAACAACGTCTCTATGCTTCTAAATGTGAGGATCTGATGTTTTTCTTGGTCGTACTTTATAGAGCAGTTAAAGTTTTTTTCTCTTTTTGGCTGTTGATGGACTTTGACTTTAACTTTGTTGTGACTTAGAGGAAATTCATTTAGCAGCCGCAGGTGAAAAAAAAGAAATGCAACCTGTAGAAAACACACTCAGGAACACAGACTCAGACATTAGAGACAAGCAAACTGAGGAAGAATAGTTATAGTTATCCGTTTGAGTCAAAGGTCTGTATTAAACTCAGACATTTCTGTGAACACTTCCAGGGTTTTTCTGAATTTAAAAAAGTGAGAACATTAAAGAGGACATATGATCCCCCTCCTCCACCTTTTCAAAACAGTCCCCTCCTCCACTTTCAAAACAGTCCCCTGTGGTCTAAATGAAACAATCATTGCTGTGCTTTGGTCAAAATATAACATGAATCAAGCACCAGAGGAGGTTTGTGACCCTGTATAAACCAGCTCTCTCAGAACACTCCATTTTGTGGTGTGTCTCTTTAA